TATAACAAATACTCACATAACAATTAATTTAAATTCTAAGATGAATTGATTTCAAAACCCTGCTCTGATACCAATTGAAAGACTTTTATTTAATTTTATGCGGAATATCTTAATCACAGAATCTTGAAATCAAATTCATCTTAAGAACATAAGCACATAATAGAGATTATTGACATACCGTTCGCCATAGATTTCGATAGAGACGATGAACGATAGCAATCTACAAGCCGAGCCTAGCCAGGCCTCATTTGAATCTGCTTGAGAACTTTATTCGTAGCACACCTTCTTCTCTCTATCTCTCTAATATCACAACTCGCTATTATTCTGTAAGTGATGGAATTCTCAATTGCGTCTGATTGTTGAGCAAAAGAGTTGTGGATTTCTTTTATAGACGAGAGAAGATGGCCACGATTGATTTGTAACGGCAGAAGACAAATCCCACCCATCATGGTCGCCTTCAACGTTACAAATCAATTACCATAAAATCACCTTAATACCATAATTTGAATTACCCACAATTTAATTAATTAAAATAAAGATTAGTGGACCAAAAAATAAAACGTTAAAAACGTAAAACTAACACATCGTTATTAATTTCCTCGGCGGCAAATTTTAGGCCCGGTGAGGATTTTTGGGTGGCGGAGGAAGACCCCGACGAGATTTGCAGTGGTGAGGAGTGCGCAGCGCCGCGTCTTTGCTCGGGAAATCGCCGCCAAGCTCTAATCGGGATTTAGGAGGACTAGTGTGTGTGGGGTGACGGGAAGAAGATGACGGGTATTTCTCAAGGTTGTAAAAAGCGGTAATCGGGTCCGAGTCGGTCAGACACCGACTCACGATTAATCGGTGCGGTGGTGATTAATCGGTGATAAATCGGAAATAAATCGGTTTTTAAAATTTAATATAATATATTTCTAAATATTATTTATAAATACTCCAAACATATATAAAAAGATATTTAAATATAGTTATATCTCCATCATGTATATATTCTAATAACATAATAAAAGTTTAATAATCATAAGATCATAATACATAAATATCCTTATAAAATATAAATAAAAAACATTTTTTTTAATTTACATTTATTCTTGAACATTCCTGGCATACATCATTAGTTCTTTAACAATAACAATTAACATAAATAAAATAAGGCATAAACTCATATTTTCTTTTATTAAAATTCAACTTTTATTTTGAATTATAAAAAGAAAAAAAAACGATTTTTAACTGATTTTTGACCGATTTTTGCCACTGAGTTTGACCCGCCTTAAAGGTTTGACCGCCTCGGACCGCCTCAGACCGCCTAAAACCACCTCACAGGCAAAAAACCGATTTTTCAAACCTTTACACTAAAATCGTAAAGGTTTTGGACCGCCTCCGCCTCGGAGACCGATTAATCGGCCGCCTCGGCCGATTTTTAGAACACTGGTATTTCTTTTTCCCTTTTAATTTTGTAATTTATTTATATATTAATATTAATATAATATATTTATATGTATTTTTGAAAAAACCCGATTCGGGATATATCTGTCTTTTCAAATGTAGTCAATGGGTAAATTGCAAATGGGTCGAGTGTGTTATTTAAAAAAGTTTATGGTGGGTTTGGAGTGATATTTTATATTATAGGGACTTTTCCTGCAGAGTGCAGATAGATATTTTACGGGATTATTAGTGAAAAACCCCCAACATATTAGGACATATTAAGGTGGATCTACACCCTTTTACAATATTAGTGAGAACCCCCTTAATTATTTAATTAAATTAATATTATAACAATTATTAAATATTATACCTATATTATCTCTATTTACCAAATCTTATATTTACAAACCCTAGCCACATCGTCCATCACAAAACCGCCGTTCTCTAATCCCCTCATCTTTTCTCTCCCCTCATCTTCTCTCTTCTTTTCTGGAATCGATTGGTAGTATCGGCAGCGGCGGTGAAGGTGGCGTCACATCTCAACAAAGACGAGGAAGACCCCGACCCCTTCTCTTCTTTCTCGAATTGGGAATCCGATGACGGCGGAGGCGAGGGCGAATGAGAGGACAAATGCGGCACCATATCTCGACAACAACAAGGCGCCGCCGCCAAAACGAGGACGGACAGATGTCTTGTTCGGTCCCTCCCCTTTCCTTTCCGAGGGATGAACATATCTGGTACTTTTTTTTTTGTTCTTCAATTTTTGGAAGCATTCTTGCAATCCTCGTCGGAATACCACTCCACCACCGTTGTAATGGAATCGATCGACCTCAAGGAGGATGACGAAACCTTGGGGTGCATTTTTATGTGAGAATCGCAACCGCCGACGCTCAACCGTAACCTCAAATGCCGTTAACATAAGCGGATCTACTTCGTCCGTTATGTTCGATATTGTTTGGGAGGCTGATTATCGTTCAATTAATTGTAGAATGTATGTTCCTTTTTTGAAATTGTGTTCATGTGAGTCAAAAAGATATAGTTGTTTTCGTTACGGTTGTAGTTGGTTTCGATATAGTCGTTTTTGTTGGAGTTCTAGTGTGGTTTTTTTGCTTTTGTTTTAGTTGATTTTAATAATTTCTAGTTGATTCAATATAGTTATTTTCGTATAATAATATAGTTGTTTTCGCAAAATAATATTGTTGTTTTCACTACTTTTTAGTTGGTTTGAATAAATAGTTAATTTAACAAATAGTTGTTGGAGATGCTTTGATTAAATAATTAGTTATTCTTACAATGGAAATAATATAATATATAATTAATTTAATAAATAGTCAAACTAATGTATAGTTGTTTTAATACCAATTGTTTTTTAATAACAGTTGTTTTTAATAATAGTTGTTTTATTGAAATATAGTTGTTTAACTGAAACATAAAAAAAATATATATATAGTAAAAGAATATTTAAAGAAAAATATTAAAAAAATAAAAAAGAAAATTTATTTTTTTAATTTTTTTTTAAAGAAGAAATAAATAAAAAAACCAAAAAATAAAATAAAAATAAAAATAAAATACAGCAAATCAATGGATAATGGGTAGAGAATAGTTGGAGGGTAAATTTGAGAATAAAAAAATGATGGGTCTCTCACTAATAAAGAAAATGAGCTAGATCCATCCTCATTAAAATAATGTTAGAGGTGTTCTCACTAATAGCCCCGATATTTTACAGGGGTACTTTTTGCAAAAAACCCTAATTATCATGGTCGTTTTAAAATATAAATTTAAGGTAAATTGCAATCAACCCCTAGTTTATACCTAAATTATAAATATCCTCCTCTCCTTTGCGAAATTGCAATTACCCTGGTGTATTTTCATTGTCTATCAACTTATCCCATACACGTTGATGCTAACAAAATATTTTAAATTATCACAAATTAGGGTGAGCAAGTCAGACCTATCAACTTGTTAAACCCATCAAACCCGTAAAATTTGTCCTGCTAGGATCGGAAGGATAGATCCATCAATAGTATTGATGGATCCGCGGGTTTGAGTCTAAAACGAGTTCAAATGTTTTAAATATTCGTGAAATTCGTCCTGCCCGCCATACAAAATGATGTCGTTTTGTTTATATTAAGTATATAAGAAATTAATTATATATAGGGCAAATTGCACGTCACCCCCTATAAAATTCTAATTTTCGCGCTTTATCCCCTAATTAATTTAAAAAAGTGAATGCTCCCTTCAAAATGTTACTCTTGTTGCACATGGCACCGATACCAAAATCCCGATAGATTAGTCACCGGAATAGAGTGTTTATGTACCCCCTTTAAAATGTTATTTTGGGTGCACGATGCCCATCGAGGGGCAAAGTGTAATCAAAACAATATTTCGAAGCGGGATTATCCTCCTTATTAATTTTTAGGGGGAAAAGTGTGAACATGAAAAATTTATAGGGGTGAAGTACATTTTGTCCTAAATTTATAGGACTCCTAATATATATTACATTAATAAAATAATTTTTTACATGTCAAAACTTATATGTATAACGACCATGTCGTCTCATTTTATCTGTAGTAATCTATGTTATTTAAAATTTTGTCTTATAAAACTTTGAATTTAGTTACTATTTTTAATGAATTTATGTTTAAAACATATTAATATTGATTTATTCTTGACATTTATCATGAAACAATGTAGTAGTAGTTACATGAAATAATTACAATATACTAAACTCATGGGTAATGACTGAATCAAATTTTATGTTTATTTTTGCAGAAAAATCAATAATAAAAAAATAGTCAATAATTTTAGAGTTCACCAATTTTCAAGTTTAGATTTAACTGTAAGAAGATAATTTTGTAAAATCAAATTCAAATTAGATAATTTAGTCAAAAAATAAATAAAATTATTTATATGTGTTACAACTTTAGTTCTTGAAATAGCTTAAATATTAGAAGCATCAGCACCGGTACTCCTTGGCCTTGATGGCTCTTGGTTGTCATACCTCCCATTGAGGTCAAGGGTTCGAGTATTGGTGAGAGAGGAAGAGAGAAGAAGAAAGAGAATAATAATTGAGGTATTCTAAAATACCTCCTTTTTGTTATTATTTTTATATATAAAAAAATGGATTACGAAAATAATATTTTATACCGACAATCGATTTGGGCCAAACCGAAGCCCGATGGCTCGATTCGATTATATTCTAGTCGAACTTAATTTTTAGTGAGTCGGGCTCCTTTTTTGGTTTTTATATATAAAAAAATGCATGACAAAAATAATATTTTACACAGACAATGAGTCGGGCCTAATCAAAAAAATCATATTTCCAATTTCCGGTTTTGTAGATACATCTGCTGATCCTGTACAATTAATCTACTTATTTACACACAATAACACGCACCCATATATATGTGTGCTAAATTATTTATAATTTTAAATAGAAATAGAAATCGAAACCGAAACCGAACAAGCTATAGCATCTCAAATACCCCAATTTCCACCCATATAAATTTAGAGGTGTTTAAAAGAAAAAAAAGAAAGAAAACATAATTAAATTTCAAATCTCTTTCCCTCAAACTTGTGAAAAATCCAAGGTTTCTTCTGTGTAGAGAGAGAGAGAGAGAGAGAGAGAGAGAGAAATGGCATCGAATCAAATGGAAGAAGTACAGAAGAAATTAGGTACGCTGAATTACCCAAGAGCAAATGCCCCAGCCCAATCGCTCCTCTTCGCCGGCATGGAACGCTACGCGCTTCTCGAATGGCTCTTCTTCAAGTTCTGAATCCTCTTCTTTTCATTTCAATTTTACACCAACTTCCAATTATTTTAGCTGATTTTAGCCGAATTATTTTGACTGATTTTGTTTTTTGTGTGTGTGCAGATTACTGGGTGATAAATCTCCATTTTCGCAGCAGAATCTACAAGGGGATGCCGTGGATCGGGACGAAGAAACCTCCAGGATACAATGTAACTCGTAATTTTGATTCGTTATATTCGTTTTATTTTGCTTTCAACATTTAATTTGGGGGTAATTTTTTTTTGTTTACATTAAACAGGGTTAACATACTTATCATGATCACTATTGAAAATTCCCCTCTATTGATTTTAGTAGTGTTGGTTCTGTTGATTTTATGTTTTTACGAAATTGACAATTCGCTGCAACCGTATGCAGCTTAGATGATGTTCTGATTAGAGTTCTGCAAATTAGGTTTGAATTTCCCCCTTTTTTGTTTCTGGAATTTTTTGCAGATTTGGCCGAGATTGCGAAGTTTCTTGGCATTACCACGACTATAGACACTGAAGCTATCCAAGTGAGTTTAGATGTTACACTGATTTTTCAGCCTTGTTTTTTCTTTTTTCGTCTCCGTTCTGCTAAATATGTGACATTAGAGTTATGTATCCGCGATTTCCATTTTAAGAGTTCTAGGTTGTGATTTTTTACCCTTCATTTAATTTTCCGAGGGAATAATATAGCTAAGTAATACGTAATTATTCAATGAATGTCTAACTCTCCCAATGCACATATGGTATACTATTGCCACTCTAATTTCTCATTTTGTGGATTTTGATGACCGAAAAAACGCAATTATTTAACGTGTAGTTTTGATCTTTCCTTTTTTCTTATCGAGTGTTACTGTACTTACTAATTATCTGTTCATTGAGTCTGTTTAGGGGGTGAAATGCTTTATACAAGGTTAAGAACATGTACTGCTACTTATGAATTTTTTGTTTCCCATCAAAAGCAAGCATAAAAAACTTTTTTTTTTTGTTTTACTTAAACATGCGAATCAAGGAACAAAGATAATTTTTTAATTTATGGAGTTTTTTTTCCTTTCTAAAAATGACATGCATATAGGTGCTGATGGAAAATGTGATGTAACTTTTCGTTATAGGGTCGAGGAAGTTATGAAGATCGAACAGAAATGCTGCGTCTTATTGTCGATCTCGTGGAGGCAAGCATCTTTGCTGATAATCCTGAATGGAGGTGTTTTTATCTACTTAAATTATAGTCAATAAAAAGTATGTTCTATTTCTATTGATCCTTGTTGTTATCCATGCAACTAATTTTAATTATTTTTCATTGTTTTCCAGTGTAGACGAGCAAGTGGCTAAAGACATACAACTAATAGATGCCATAGCTGAGAAACAAGCTCAGATTTTTTCAGAAGAATGCAAATTGTTTCCTGCAGATGTGCAGATCCAATCTATTTACCCATTGTAAGAAATTATTTTTTATTGCATATTGTTGGTCTCATTACTAAGCTTACCTTTTAGTGATGAACACTCATTTTCTAAACTAGTGTAATTCTACAAAGTTTCTCGTCTCCCAATGATGATATACCACGACGTAAAAATGTGATTTTTGATGCTTTTTTTCTTCTTCTTCAAAACTGTAGAATGTGAATGCCGTTAAGCCATTAGTATGGATTTATGTTCATCGAATTTATATCTACTGAGAATATATTTTTGGATCATGGACCGATTTATAAGCTCATTAGATTTTCTGTCTGTCTGTTGATTTTCTATTTATTTGTGGTTAAAAAATATTTGACGAGCATATCTCTTCAGCAAATACAAATACTTTTTATTTACCTTAATCAAAAGTTTATTTGTAGGCCAGACATATCTGATTTGGAAAAACAACTTTCAGATCAATCCAACAGACTTCTGAGCCTTCAAGAGATGGTTGATGATTTAGCTTCCAAGGTTCTTTTCGACCCATTATTCACTAATTATATTATTTCTGTGATTAATTGCCACTAATTATATTATTCCTTTATAGCATCCGTATAATCCCGATGAAGATTACATGGAGGTTGAAGGAAAGTTACGGGCACATCTGGAATCTTTTCTCGAAACTGCAAGAAGCTTTAATACAATTTACACCAAGGTTTGCTTTTATTTAATCGTTTCCATGTTTGCGTTGTGTAGTTTACCTCATACGCTTGTTGCATTATTTCCACTAATTCCAAGAGTGAATATTTGTTCGGTTAAAATTTATGGCTTAGGAAATGCTTACTTTTGAATTTCTAAGATGTTGGTGGCTCTTTGAATTAATCTATGCTGTTAGATTTTTACACTACTCACACTCGTTTTGCCTGTAATGAGTATGAACCGATACAAAGTTAACTTTAGGATTTCTAAGGGTTCGACTGGCTTTATTTTGAGTGCAAAGAGCTGGAAAAGCAAGCTATTCGGAATGTTATCGCTTTCCATTTTTTTTTTGACTTAGACATTGAACTTAATTGCCGTTTATTGTTTGCCAATTACTCAAATCAATCAAGGAGAACTCAATACTTAGCTCAATTTTGAAATGTATTTTTGTTTAATACCGTGCAGGAAATACGTCCTTGGACACATATGATGGAGGTTCCGCAGCTTCATGGTTTTGGACCCGCTGCAAATAGATTATTGGAAGCATATAAGATGCTTTTGAAGGTACCGTAATTCTGGTTCGCTTCTGTCGAGCATTATTTGGTTATTCATTGCGGAGAATCACAAATGAAGTTTTAACAAATAAAAATCTCAACGATTTTGATGGGTATTTCATTTCGAATTGCAATCCGAATATTTCCGATTCGTGGAAAAGTATTTCTCATTCCGAATTCCGAAAGTTCTGATATCTCCTTTTTCCAATTTTCTTAGGCACGGAACTGGGATATGTATTAGATTCCGATTTGATTCTAATTTCCGAAAATATTTTCGAAAAGAATATTTTCCCAAAAATTACACTTATAACATCAATAATATTATGTATTTTATATTATAGGTGACTAAAGAAATGAAAATTCCAAATCCTGCCGATTTTGATCCAACAATTTCCGATTTTGGAACAACTTTTGTCATTCCAATTTCCGTAATTCCGATTTTCTATTTTGCCAATTGTTTATAGGAACGGAATTGGAATTAGATTTTCACTTCCCAAAAAATGATTTTTTTTTTCTTCCGACAATGTTAAAATTCCGATCTGATCCGTCTGATTTCCACCTCTCTGTTTTCTTTAACCGTGGCAGTTTTTGGGAAACTTGAAGAATCTTCGAGACTCGCATGCAGCTGTAGCAGTTGGATCTTCGGAAACAGTGGGTGGCGAGCCATCGTCGGTTATGAGAATAATCTCCGAGTGTGAAACTGCGTTGACATTCTTGAACCGGGATTTAGGAATTCTTTCCGCTTCAATTGCTCGTGAAAAGGGTCAAGATGCATCTTTGTAGTTATATATTTCCTCTTTGTTTTTTTTTTTTTTTTTTTTGTTTTTTTTAATGCATCGATCATCTTTAAGTTCGAAAGATTGTGTTTAGTGGTGTGTATTGAAATTTGATGTCTGTTATTGGAGGCAACACACTTGCAGGTACTTTTGTTGGATTATTTGAAAAAAAAGGGAGATTAAATTTCGAAAGTGGTGACTAATTTGGAGAAATTAGAATAAAATAAATTAAATCAATATATATTTTTTAAACTGAAACGATTTTTACGGGTCTAATTTTATGAATATTGTTAATTCAAAATATAACTTCCAAACTCACCCAGGCCCCCCTAAACGTCGAAAATCACATCCTGTGCCCAAATTGGGCGTGAGAGAGATTAGAGGGTTTTTATTTATTTTAAATACATATAAATAAAACAAATAAAAAATATTAACTAATTTATTCATTTACTATCAATTAATTATTACTACAAATTGTTAATTAATTACTTAAAAATATAATGCGTATTTTACTGGGGATTAAATGTGAAATCGACGAAAACTTGAGGGGCAAAAACTATATTTTCCCCGTACTATAAATATAAATAAAATTTTGCCACATGCATTGTAGCTCACAGTATGTTTCTCTGAGCTTCTAAGTTCTACCAGTACATGATCATGGCGGAGAGCGACGGCACCGGATTGAACGTAGAGATATTCAACATAAATATAATCACCCGAACATCACTGGGCTGGGATTCACCCACAGTTTTGACCAGCAGATCAACCGCAGCTCCACGTATCACAATCTCCGTCTCCTCGCGGTTGCTGGCGCCGGCGGATTCCGGCGGAAAATCTACGCCACCGAGATAAAGATAAGTAGAAATTAGAATCACTCGCGCGGGACCTCTCTCATCACTTGCGCGTTACAGCTCATAAACCGTCTCTCTCTACATGTTTGTAAAATTGAAATACAGGCCATTCGTTGGCAAGAGTTGGGGCAATGCCTGCTCTCTACTCCGTTGTTTCAAGCTTGAAGAAAATTCTGTATTCCATTGGAACTCAAAAATCACGAGTAGCTTTAAGAGACGTGATGTGAAAAATGCGCGCAAGCTGTTTGACGAAATGCCCCACAAGAATGTGGTGACATGGAACTGCATGATTTCAGGGTACGTTAAGAATAGGATGATTCGCGAGGCTCGTGAAGCCTTTGATTCGATGCCTTGTAAGAACGTAGTTTCATGGACTGCAATGTTAAGTGGGTACGCGAAGAATGGGAGGTTGGAGGAGGCGAGACGGTTGTTCGATTTAGTGGAAAAGAAGAACGTGGCTTGCTGGAATTCTATGATTTCGGGATATGTGAGTTGTGGTAGGGTAGATGAAGGTCGAGTACTGTTCGATGCAATGCCGGTGAAGAATGATGTTTCCTGGGCAACGATGATTGAAGGGCATTTTAGGTACGGGGCGGTGAACGAAGCTGAGAGCTTGTTTAATGAAGCTTCAAGTAAAAGTATGCTACTTTGTAATGCTATGTTGGCAGGATATGGTGAAACTATGCACATTGACAAGTCATATGATTTGTTTATGAAAATGGCTGAACGTGATGTGGTTTCTTGGACTTGTATGCTTACATGTTTTATGAGGGTGGGGGAAGTGGAAAGGGCGAGGAATTTGTTTGAAGAGATGCCCGATAAGGATGCAGTTGCTTGGACTGTGATGATTAAAGGTTATTTGGACCAGCGGAGGGTCGAATCGGCTCGAGAATTATTTGATCAAATGCCCCACAAGGATGTCGTTGCATGTAACTCGATGCTGACTGGGTTTCTTCGTAACGGAAAGCTGGAATATGCTTGTGATCTATTTACGAGAATGCCGGAGAGGAATGTAGTTTCTTGGAATCTAATGCTATCCGGATATCTTCAGCAGGATGATGTTATTATCGCTCGGAAGTTCTTTGAGAAGATGCCCATCAAGGATGAGACCTCATGGAACACGCTAATTTCTGGATATCAAACCGAAGAAGCATTTATTTTGTACATAAGGATGTTATCTAATGGACTCAAGCCTGATCAAGGTACCTTAACCTCCGTGATATCTGTCTGTGGTATTCTTGCGATGCAAGGTTGGGGCAAAGCAATGCATGTTTTTGTTGTCAAGATTGGTTATGAAACTGATAGCATGGTTATGAGTTCATTGATATCCATGTATTCTAGATGTGGTTTCATCAATGATGCTTCTGTGGTATTTAGCACAACGAAAATTCGTGATACTGCAACTTGGAATACCATGATTGTGGCTCATGCTCATCACTCTTCTGCCGAGGAAGCTTTTGATCTTTTTGATCGTATGACGGATGCTGGATATCAACCTGATCATGTTACTTTCTTAGTCCTTTTGACTGCCTGTGCTCATTCTGGATTAGTAAGTGAAGGTTGGAAATATTTGAAGTTGATGGGAAAATGTGATCTGACCCCAAAGCCAGAACATCTTGCATCCATGGTTGATCTTCTCGGTAGATCAGGTTTACTTGCCGAAGCCTTCAAATTGGTCAATCAATTCCATTCGGATATTCCGACATATGCGTGGGGAGCATTGCTTAGTGCCTGCAACATGCATGGAAATTATGAATTAAGCGACTTAATTGCAGACAAAATTTTAGGCTATCAACCTTGTAATGTTGGGATGTGTGTGCTTCAATGCAATATATATTCTGCACGTGGTATGTGGAAGGATGCATCACGTATTAGAGCAAGACTAAAACAAAACCAATTGAAGAAAGAAACGGGTTGTAGCTGGATTGATATAAATGGAAGTGTTTCTTGCTTCTCATATAATGATAAGTCTCATATTCGAACCGAAGACATATACAAAGAGTTAGAGATGCTTTCTGTACTTATTGAGGAGCTTGGGTTTGACATACATTAAGGCTTCATCCACATCAGAAGTTTCAGATTTTTGTCTCTATAAAATTCATGTGACCTCAATATTTGGTCTCATATCTCTCGGCTCTCATGAAATGGTGCTCCACACCAAGATCTGCAGGATCTCGAAGGAGTAGATTTTTCCAGAGGAAGCCCTACTGTTCTTGGAGAAGGTTGGATTATGATGAGCATCTCTTTATATTTTCTAGGAGAAGGGCAAATATTGGTACCTCACTGGAACTTCTGTCGTCACATGTTTACATGCAATTGAAAGGTAAAAAGCTAATTTTCTGGTGAATAAATTAGTACCATATACTTCATTTATAATGGTGGCCATGTTGGGTACATGTTTTTAATGCACATTCGTTCTTTAGGTACTTTAAATGATAGTAGTAGTTATGGTGTCTCATGAAATTTGATGTATGTTGTTAGGAAAGTAGTTCAACCCGGTGCTTCTAATATGCCGAAACATTTGCAATGAACAAACGACTAGTGCAATAAATGAAACTATCCAAGTTAGCTTTGTTATCCATTAGTATCTAGTAATAAAGACATAGATTTCTTCCAAGATATCATAGGATGTTACCAATATTTAGTACTTTGTTGTACACTTGTATCTATATAAGCAAGCCACAGGTGCTGTTTCCATTCCAAATCGAGAACATAGTTTACGCTATGGTGCATTTCATGTCGCTTGTTATAAATCTCTCCATATTGTCTTTGGCATTCCCATCTAATACATATTCTCTTACAGAGTTTAATAGTGAAGATGGCTTCACAACCGATCTTATTCACAGAGACTCCTCAATTTCTCCTCTATACGACTCTACTGCAAGCCACGAGGATCTTATTAGCAAAGCCGTACAACGCTCCAAAATCCGTGCCGATCGTTTTGGTTTCGGTTCATTTGCCGCGGGGATTTCCTCACCTGAGCTGATAGCTTCCGATGGAGATTATCTAATGAAAGTTAACCTTGGCTCACCACCCGTTGAGATCAATTTAGGTCTTGATACAGGCAGTGCTTTTTCATGGACACAGTGTGCACCATGTGATAATTGCTTCCCACAAACTCTGCCTCTCTTTACTCCCAAGGCGTCTTCGACATACAAAGCCATGCCTGGTGATCCGAAACAGTGCAAAGCCCTTGGAGGGAGGCCTTTCCTTATTGGAGACAAAACGTGTAGGTACTCTGTGAACTATTGGAACGAGTCCTACTCTCACGGAATCATCTCTTCAGACACACTCAGGTTGAATTCTATATCAGGTTCACCTATAGAGCATAAAAAATTCATTTTTGGATGTGGTTACGAAAATATGGGCACATTCAAGAGGGACATGACTGGCATAATTGGCTTGGGGAGAGGACCGGGTTTCCTTGTCACCCAAATGCAGTCCGTTATAGGTGGGAAGTTTTCGTATTGCTTACTCTCTCATAAACCAAATAATTCAAGATCCAGCAAAATTCATTTCGGCAGCAGAGCTTTGGTTGCTGGATCCGGGGTGGTCTCGACTGGTCTACATTACTTCCAAAATACCTATGCTGCAAAGTTCAAAGGATTAAGCGTCGGAAAAAACAAACTGGCCATGATCGATACCAGTCTCTACAATTCATCAAAAATCTTGGGTTTCTTTAACGAACGAATCATCGACTCTTGGATCCACATTGTCGTTCCTTCCCAAGAAATTCTATAACCCTTTAGAAGCCGCGATGAAAAAGGAGATTAAATTGCAGCGTGCTGACCCGGTAGATGACATGTTGAGATTCTGCTACAAGACTCCTGATGGGAAAATAATGGCCCCTATAGTTACTGTTCATTTTGTTGGTGCAGATGTTAAGTTGTTTCCTTCGAACATTTTCATTAAAGCTTCCCCGGATATTCATTGCCTTGGTTTTGTGCCACATGAAGGTGTAGCCCTCTTTGGTAACTTGGCACAAACAAACTTCTTGGTCGGTTACGACATTAAGAGAATGACTCTGTCATTTAAACCAAAATGCAGTAACGAGTAGTTGGGATCTGTTGATTCCTGCCCTGTTCAATAACAATGCCTTAATAATACTCAGTTTTCAGCCTTTCGTTACCATTTTGGCTGAATATGTTACATTAATTTATGTATCTTCAATCTTTCATTTTGGGAGGTTGAGATCGATTCGGGTCTCCCAGCCCAATCAAGGCTGTGATTTTGTACTCTTTATTTAATTTTCCAAGGGAAGAATATAGTTATGTGATGCTTGAAAACTCCATTTGGATGACAGAAAAAAATGCAAATATTTCAGGTGTTGTAATACAAGAGCTCCTTGATCATTTATCTTCTCTTGTCTAGTGTAACTGTCTTTAATAATTATCTATTCATTGAGTCTGTTTAGGGGATGAATTGCTGTATACGATACTAAGAATATTTATTTATGTTTCCGACTAAAAGCAAGCATTATCAGTCTATTTTGTTTTGGCCGAATAAATATGTTTCCTTTCCTTTATTGATTTTTTTTTTTTTTTTCTGTTCTTTCCAAAAGTGACTTGCATATAGTTTCTGATGGTCAATGTGGTTTCAATTTGTCCTGCACAATTCCTATGATGAACACATGCTAATACATATTCTTTACTACCGATGCACGATGTAACTTTTTGTTGCAGGGTCGAGGAAGTTATAACGATCACACTTGGAATACTGCGTTTTGCTGTAGATCTTGTGGAGGCAAGCATCTTTGCTGATAATCCTGAATGGATGAGTATATGCCTACTTAATTATAGTCAATAAATAGTATATTCTATTTCTATTGATCCTTAAAGTTATCCACGCAACTAATTTTAACTATTTTTCCTTATTTACGTTGTCTCATTGTTGTTTTCTTTTGATCAACAAGCATTGATTTCGATCCTATTGCATGCAGACTTGATAAGGACCTTCTCGTTTAAAATAGGATCCTTAAGAACCTTCCTCATGAAGCCATCCCAAAGGATGATATAACACTATCTAAAATGTGGCTCTTGATGCTTTTACGAAAATGTAGATTATGAATAGCAGTAATATGGATTTGTTCCTTGAATTTAGTTCTGCCGAGAAACCTTTTTCTTACCTCATGGCCCATGCATGGATTTCTCCGACTTCCGTTGTGCAAGTTCTGTGACTGAACATTCTGTCCATGAGTCCATGAACAGTTCTTCTTGACAGAGGAAAAATTCTACCTTAGGTTCACTTATACTGCGTAGGCTGTTTATTTATTATTATTATTATCATTATTTTTTTAGTTAATTTGTTTTCTCATGATATGGTAATGAAAATGCAGGAAAAATCAGCGTCGAAACATCTGGAGTAATTATTAGCCTGGGGAGGGGATTAGGTTCTTTAACCAACCATATGGACTATTGCGATTGGTTGTAAGTTTTCATATTGCTTACTCTCTAACACAATAAACCATCTTTAAACAACCATAATTCTCTCATATATATTTTTCTATCTTCAAATCACTGTTATTGGGAAACTCTCAAAATCTAATCTTATATGAAATAATTTCATTTGAAAAGTTCAAATCAGTCTTAGATTACAACATAATGAAAACAAAATGCAAGTTTGGAATACAGAATGGGAACTTAATTTTATATTCAAGTTATGCTGATGAGCTATAGTGGAAATTATGTTACACTCAATAAAGTGTGCACTGAGGAAAGATCTACCGAAAAAAAGGATGATATACTCGGTGTACTTCATTAGGTGTAGCATGTAATAAACCATGAAGTTTTGAAGTTCGATCAAGCCGTTCTTTTGGTCTATTTGAGTCTTATTACTTACGATTAATATTATTTGCGACGTGTCATGAAACCAGAACAACTTAGTGCTTATAATAAACATTTTGAGCCAATAACAAAGTGCAATGAATGAAGCTATCCAATTTACTTTTGTTATCCACAATTATCTAGAGATACACGTGTGGAGTAATCGGCCTTGGGAGAGGACCGGGTTCGTTTCTCACACAAATGAACCCCGCGATTCGTGGGAAGCTTGCGTATTGCTTGCTCCCTCGTGACAATTTCAACAGTTCCAGATCTAGCAAAATCCATTTCGGTGGAAAAGCTGTGGTTTCTGGATCTGGCGCTGTCTCGATTGGTATGCATTTCTTCAAAAGTCAATATGCTGCGAGGTTGAAAGGAATAAGCGTTGGAAATAAGAAACTAGCCATGAGCGTTAATCTCTTGAATTCGTTGAAAATATTCGGATTGTTAAACGAAAGAATCGTCGTTGACCCCGGACCCACATTGTCGTTCCTTCCCAAGAAAATCTACAATGCTCTAGTAGCTGCAATGAGAAAGGAGATTAAATTGGAGCGTGCTGATCCGGTAAACGAAATGTTGCAGGTGTGTTACAAGACTCCGTCTGACGGGAAATTGAAGGGTATTCCTGTAGTTACTGTCCATTTTGTTGGTGGAGATGTTAAGTTGTCTCCTTTGAACACGTTCCTTAATGTGAACTTTTTTCGTGATGGCTATAAGAGTGTCATTGCCTTGCGTCTGTGCCGCACGATGGTGTAGCAATCTTGGGTAATTTGGCACAGACAAATTTCTTGATTGGTTATGATATTGGGAGGAAGGTTATATCATTTAAACAAACTGATTGCAGCAAACAGTAGTAGTTGGGATCTGTTAATTGCTGCCTTGTTCAACAATAATGCCTTAACAAATATATTTGCATCCAATTTTTGTCAGTGAGGTTATCCCTATTTTTCACTTCATTGTTTTTGTGGGTTCGATTTGATGCACGTGATTTTGCAATGTGCCGATGACTAGTGCAATAAATGAAACTATATCGGATTCATTTTTGTTATCCACAAGTATCTTGAAATAAAAACATAGATTTCTTGAAAGATATTATAGGATGTTGCCAATATTTAATGCTTTAATTTGTTACATATTCCATATCTATCTATATAAGCAATTCACAGGTGGTGAGTCTATTCTAGATGAAGAACAGAGATGGAGTATTTCATGTTACTTGTCATAATTCTCTCGGTCTTATCTTTTTCATTTTTATCTACTGCACATTCTCTTACAGAGCTAAGCACAGAATCTAATGGCTTCACCACTGATCTCATTCACAGGGACTCGATAATTTCTCCATTTTACAACCCCACATCGAGTCACCAGGACCGTATTATCAAAGCCTTGCAGCGCTCCAAATTTCGTGCCGATTATTTTTCTTTAAGCTCGTCTGCCTCGGGGAATATTCCCTCAGCTGAGATGATAGCTGCAAGAGGAGTTTATCTCATGAAACTAAACGTCGGTACACCGCCTATTGAGATCCATTTATATTTCGACACAGGGAGTATTGTTACATGGACTCAGTGTGCACCCTGCTATAATTGTTTCCGACAAAATTTGCCTCTGTTTAATCCCAAAGCTTCTTCGACTTACAAAACAGTGTCTAGTAATTCGAAAACGTGCAAATCCGTTGACGGGAGCTATTCTCGTGCAAGGGACAACACGTGTAGTTACGCTCTGACTTATATGAACAAATCCTACTCTCGCGGGATCGTTTCTTCGGACACAGTTAGGTTTAATTCTACAGTGCTTCGAGATTTCATTTTCGGCTGTGGTTATGAAAATGCAGGCACATACGGCGTAAATATGTGCGGAATAATCGGCCTCGGGAAAGGGCAGGGTTCGTTGATCACGCAAATGGGGCCCAGGATTGGTGGGAAGTTTTCGTATTGTTTGCGCTATCATGATCCATTTAGCAATAGTTCGGAATCTAGCAAGATCCATTTCGGAAACAAAGCCGTGGTTTCTGGATCCGGGTCGGTCTCGACCCGTTTATATTTCTTCAGACACGTGTACGCCGTGGGGCTCAAAGGAATCAGCGTCGGAAAGAAGAAATTGGTTTTGACTAATAGTCTCTCAAATTCGTCGAAAATATTGGGTTTGTTCAACGAAAAAATCGTCGTCGATTCTGGAGCAACATTGACGTATCTTCCCAAGAAAATGTATAGTGCTTTAGAAGCTGCAATGAGAAAGGAGATTAAATTACAGCATGCTGACCCAGTAGATGAAATGCTGAGGGTGTGCTATAAGGCTCCTCCCGACGGAAAAATGAAGGGTATTCCTGTAGTTACTGTCCATTTTGTTGGTGCAGATGTTAAGTTGTCTGCTTTGAACACTTTCCTTAAAGCTTCTGAAAGTGTTTATTGTCTTGGTTTTGTGCCAAGGAATGGTGTGGCCATCTTCGGTAACTTGGCACAAGTAAATTTCTTGGTGGGTTATGACATCAAGAAGATGACTATTTCATTTAAACCAACTGATTGCAGCAAACAGTAGTTGGAATTATCTGTTAATTCCCCTGTTTTGTTCAACAATAATGCCTTAATAAATATATTTGCATCCTATTATATTTTTGCACTAATATATCCTTCGGTGTTGATGAAATTACGTAAACCTTCTAGCACCTTCTTGTGCTTTTATGTCACGACGAGAATTTTTAGCCAAAGAATGTAAAATCAGTTGAGCTTGAATGATCAAGTATAACTGATTCAAGATTCCCTCGTTAAACGATCAAATGACATTATAACTCAATTCTTGATTCGATAAGAAAATTTAATTCTGATGATTTAAGCTCAATAGTTTTCTCGTTTTCTTACCCGATTCACACTTACTTATGCTTTAGCTGCTAGTGGAGATCGATGCTTACTAATGTGGACTCTGTGATTAGTGGTAACTGGTAAGTTTTCTTTTTGTCTTAAGCAATTAAAGATCCATCAAAGTGCATTTGGTTAGCAAATGTTGTAAATTCTCGAGATGTACATATGTCGTGAGCTTCAATGGAATTAAGTGACTGAAATCTCTTCGGGTTTTTCATCCAAGTGTTTTCGATGCGACTGTTTTGTTCTTAATGCGCTTCAAATTGATTGTGTTTGTAGTGTCTCGTGAAATTCGACGTACGTTAATTGTATTAGGAAAGTAGATCCATTCAGTGCTTCTAATATGTACATTTGCAATAAATGAAACTATCCAATTTATTTATGTTATCCATAAGGATCTAGCAAATTTCTCGAAAGATATTATAGGATATTGGCAATATTGAATTTAGAACTTTTTACACACTCATATATCTATATAAGCTTCATTCTTAATCAAGAACATAGAGTTTAGTAATTACTCTCAATGGGGCATTTCATATCACTTGTTATACTTCTCTCAATATTTTCTTCTTTATTAGCATCTACTGCACATTCTCTTACAGAACAAAACTCTGAATCTAATGGCTTCACCGCCGATCTCATTCACAGAGACTCCGTAATTTCTCCTTTCTACAGCTCCGAATCGAGTTATCGGGATCGTATTGCCAAAGCCTTGCAGCGCTCTAAAGCACGTGCTGATTATTTTGCTAATTTAAGCTCATTTGCATTGGGGAGTAGTCCCTCAGCAGATATGATAGCTACAAACGGGAATTATCTGATGAAAATTAGCCTCGGGTTACCCCCCGTTGAGTTACACTTAAGTTTCGACACGGGGAGTGTTCTTATGTGGACGCAATGCGCACCGTGCAAGAATTGTTTCCCGCAGAATATGCCGCTCTTTACTCCAAAGCTGTCTTCGACTTACAAAACGGTCGCTGCTAATTCGAAAACGTGCATGTCCGTCTTAGGGGCATATTCTCGTGCAAGGGACAATACTTGCAGGTAAAATATGCTTCTTTTTTTTTTTTCATTTTTGTAAAGACATTGTTTACAAACTAATTGTTTAGTTAGTAATTAAAAATCCGGTTTATTGGATAATTAGAATTTTAATTTCAAATTATAACTTTTATTGGGTTTCGATCAATAGTTAGATTGCATGTCTAGGTACTCGGTGGAGTATTTGGACAATTCCTACACTCGAGGAATCCTCTCTTCGGACACACTCACGTTAAATTCTACTCTAGGTTCGCCAATGTCGCTTCGAAACTTCATTTTCGGATGCGGGTACAATAATCGAGGCATATTCGAGAGACAAACGTGTGGAATAATCGGGCTCGGAATAGCGCAAGGCTCGTTCATCACGCAAATGGGGCCCGCAGTTGGCGGGAAATTCTCGTACTGCTTGATCTCTCATGACCTTGAACTCAACACCTCGAAATCCAGCAAGATCCACTTCGGAAAAAGAGCCGCGGTTTCCGGACCCGGCACGGTTTCGACACCTTTATATTTCTACAAACACGTGTACTTCGCGAGTCTCAAAGGAATAAGCGTCGGGAAAAGGAAGTTGGGTTCGTTCGACGGAAAAATAGTGGTCGATTCGGGAGCCACATTGACTTATCTCCACAAGAAATTGTACTACTCTTTAGAGGCTGCAATTAAAAAGGTGATTAAATTGAAAGTTGCTGAACCAGTAGATGAACTGCAGAAGGTGTGTTATGAGTTTCCTTCTAATGGGAGAGTGAAGGGCATTCCTGTAATTACATTCCATTTTGGTGGTGCAGATGTAAAGTTGTCTCCTTTGAACACTTTTGTTAGGGTTGATGACAATGTTCATTGTCTAGGTATAGTGCCAAGTAATGACGTGGCAATCTTTGGTAATTTGGTGCAGGTTAATTTCTTGGTGGGGTATGATATTAGGAAAATGGCTATTTCATTTAAACCAACTGATTGCAGCAAACAGTAGTTTGTTATAATCTGTTAATTCCCCTGCTTTGTTCAACAATAATGCCTTAATAAATTCTCTTTCGTGGTGATATAATTTGAATTTATTAAAAGTTTACGTTTATTTCGCACTAATATATCCTTCGGTGTTGATGAAATTGCCTAAACCGACGTGATTTTTTAGCCAGAGAATGTGAAATCAGTTGAGCTTGAAATGATCAAGTATAACTGATTCAAGAATCCCCCGTTAAACGATCAAATGACGTTAGAACTCAATTCTTGGTTCGATAAGAAAATTTAACTCTGATGATTTAAGCTCAATAGTTTTTTTTCATTTTCTAACCCGATTCTCAGCTACGTATGCTTTATCTGCTAGTGGAGATCGATGCTTACTAAAGTGGGCTCTGTGATTAGTGGTAACTGGTAAGTTTTCTTTTTGTGTCTTAAAGCAATTAAATATCCATTGAAGTGCATTTCGTTAGCAAAAGTTTTAATTTCTCGAGATATACATATGCCGTGAGCTTCAATGGAATTAAATTAATTGATCGAAAAAGGAAATCGGGCGACGAACACTAATCTCTTCGGTTTTTTCATCCAAATGTTCTCAATCCGACTGTTTTTGTTCTTATTGTATTAGTACATTTGCAATAAATGAAAAAAACTATCCAATTTATTTATGTTATCCACAAGTATCTAGCTAGTAAAGACAGATTTCTCGAAAGATATTATGGGATGTTGGCAATATTTAATCTAGAACTTTCTTACACACTCGTATCTATACAAGCTTCGTTCGAAATCAAAAACATAGTGTGTAGTAGTAAGTACTCTCAATGGGGCGTTTGATTTCACTTGTTATACTTCTCTCCGTCTTATGTTCCCCGTTTCTATCGACTACATATTCTCTTACGGAACTAATCTCCGAGTCTAATGGCTTCACCACTGATCTCATTCACAGGGACTACTCCGTAATTTCTCCTTTCTACAACTCCACGTCGAGTCATCGGGATCGTGTTACCAAAGCCTTGCAGCGCTCCAAAATCCGTGCCGATTATTTTTCTTTAAGCTCGTTTGCCTCGGGGAATATTCCCTCAGCAGATATGATAGCTACAAGCGGGGACTATCTCATGAAGATTAGCCTCGGCATACCCACCGTTCAGTTGAATTTAAATTTTGACACGGGGAGTGTTTTCACGTGGACGCAATGCGCACCGTGCAAAAATTGTTTCCCACAAAATATGCCGCTCTTCACTCCGAAGCTGTCTTCGACTTACAAAACGGTCGCTGCTAATTCGAAAACGTGCTACTCCATCGTAGAGGCAGATTCTCATGCAAAGGACAACACTTGCAGGTAAAATTTTCGGGTAATTTTTTTTTTCGTCTTTGATATGTGTGTGTGTGTGTAAAATATGTGTGGATATGTATATAATACATGCATGATATTATATTTTATTGAAAGTACAGTAGAACCTCAATAAATTAATACTCGATAAACTAATAACCTCGCTTAAATAATAGTTTCTTCTGGTCCCGACTCGGTAAAAACCTAACAAATTTTAGTTCGATAATTTAATATTTCGCTAAATTAACAGAATTTTGCTAGTCCCAAATGTATTAATTTATAGAGGTTTAACTGTATTTTTTAAATAAAGATGTGGATTATTGTGTCTATAGACTACAGTAGAACCTCAATAAATTAATACTCGATAAATTAATAACCTCGCTTAAATAATAGTTTCTTTTGGTCCCGACTCGGTAAAAACCTAATAAATTATTAGTTCGATAATTTAATATTTCGCTAAATTAATAGAATTTTGCTAGTCCCGACCATATTAATTTATAGAGGTTTAACTGTAATTTGATTGCATGTCTAGGTACTCCGTGGATTACTTGGACAAATCCTACACTCGAGGAATCGTTTCTTCCGACACGCTCACGTTAAATTCTACTACAGGTTCGCCAGTGTCGCTCCGAAACTTCGTTTTCGGATGCGGGTACAACAATCAAGGCATATACGAGAGAAGCACGTGCGGAATAATCGGCCTCGGGATAGGACCAGGCTCGTTCGTCACGCAAATGGGGCCCACGGTCGGCGGGAAATTCTCGTACTGCATGATCTCTCACGACCACCACCTCAACACCTCGAAATCAAGCAAGATCCACTTCGGAGAAAGAGCCGCGGTTTCCGGACCCGGGTCGGTCTCGATCCGATTATATTTCTACGAAAACGCGTACTTCGTGAGTCTCAAAGGATTAAGCGTCGGAAAAAGGAAGTTGGATTCGTTCGACGGCAAAATAGCGGTCGATTCCGGGGCCACGTTGACTTATCTCCCTAAGAAAATGTACAACTCTTTACAAGCTGCAATCAAAAAGGAGATTAAGTTGAAAGCTGCTGAGCCAGTAGATAAACTGCTGAGGGTGTGTTATGAGTTTCCTTCTGATGGGAAAATGAGGGGCATTCCTGTAATTACACTCCATTTTGGTGGTGCAGATGTAAAGTTGTCTCCTTTGAACACTTTTATTAGGGCTTATGACAATGTTTATTGTCTTGGTTTTGTGCCGGGTGATGACGTGGCAATCTTTGGTAATTTTGCACAGATTAATTTCTTGGTGGGGTATGATATTAAGAAGATGATTATTTCATTTAAACCAACTGATTGCAGCAAGCAGTAGTTGCTTAATTATAATCTGTTTGTTCAACAATATAATAATGCCTTGATAATAAATGTACTGAATTGCATCCATTTTATTTTTTTGGATTAATTTGTATTAGATGTCCTATTTTTATTTACTTATTTATTAATCAAATATGAATTAATTGTATAGCATGGGATTAGCTTGTAGCATGTACAAAGTCTTGATTTATGTTAATATTAAATTAATAAGGGGATTTGAGATAGAGGTACAACACAGTCTAGAGTATTGATTCGGACAGTAGATGACTCTTGGGCAAGGCCGATTTTTCGGAAGATTCAGTCCGTTAAGCCCGTTAGTAGGCGCAGCCCAAAGAAGACGGCCCATTTAAAAAATCTTTTCTAGTTGCAACGTTTGAGCGAGGGAAGCCTATCACTGAGAGCCGAGTTGAGCATTTGGCGCTTGGAGGGGCGCCGCCTGTGCATTTAGTATAGGATAGACGCGTTAAATGCATTGATATCAACATTAAATGCTCGAATGAACGAGACAGTCGGGCGGAAAGTTGGTAAATATACACATGCCTTGCAAAAAGGCTAATTTCTAGAGCATGTACATTCTACAAAGTTGGTAAGAACAACAATCAAAGCGACGGTAAGCATGCGCTCCTCTCGATTTTGTACCCGTTTTATCCCATTAGAACTCCACGTAGTAAGACAAGATGATCGTAAGATGTGTTTCTTGGTTTGTAAATATTAGATTGTGGAGGATCAGAAACTGCACTTTTACACAAAATGAATACAAATTAAAGAAAATTTGATGTGTAATTAGAGATGTATAGTTGAAAAATAAGAAATTAATGTTTTGAAAGAATTCTACGGGGTTTGGTATGAATTTTGAACTTTTTTAAATTAAAAAATTAAATGAGAAAAAACAATAAGTAATAATAATTACTAAAAAGTCATTAGAGTTGTTTAAGTTTCAGTCAAAGAATTTAGGCAAATACGTACAAAATGAATTTATTACAAAATTTAGTATTATTTTAATTAAATGTATATAAAATTTTAAATAGCTTCGTGGCTATTTCATTGATGGGAAGGACTACGGTAATGTGCGATAGGTATGACCGTAGAGTAACTTTAATTCCGTATTGTGCTTAGTACAAATTCTTGGTTGGTTCTGGCGAGCTTTTATCATATAATAAATAATTTATAGTAAAAATAATTTTAATATTATGTGAAAATAGAGAAAATGAGGAGCTCGAGCTCAATAGACTTGACTCGAGTTCGAGTTCGAATACGAGCTCGCTAAATTCACCTTATCTATAAACAACCACTAGGGTGAGTCAAACTCATCAAACTATGTATCAAACAATAATGGGTAATAATACTTACCCATGCAGTTTAAATTTTACGCGCATTACCCCCTTATATTTTTAATGTAACACATGGGTCTTTTGTATTTCAATATAAACACATAACATCTTTGTACTTTTAAAAATTTCATCATATTAACAAATATGATTATTTACCAAGTGAAATACTATAAAGGGTTATGTGCTTATACTAAAATTAATATTAAAAGTATAAGGGAATTATGTGCACAAAGCTCAAATGACCGATCTTGTCTCTAGAATATTATACAAAGCTGAATTTGATTATTATTAGGACTAATTATAGTTTACACCCCTAAAGTATGAGGTTGATAACACTTGCCCCTAATGTATGTGGTTATAAAAGAAAATCAAGTTGCACATGAAGTAGCTCGACTTTCTTTCAAGGGATCTTGTACGCTAGTATAATGGATCGGCCACAATCAATTCAAGTTATTGTAAACTCTGAATCAAATTATTAATAAAATCCTTTTGTTATCTTCTCAAAAAAGAAAATTATTAATCATTATTTCATAATTACTTTCAATAAGATGAACAATCTCTAGAACATCAACAAACCTCAACATACATATGCAACATTTATAATTTATTATATAAAAAAAACAAAAAAAACATAAAAAAATCATGAAACTTGATAAATTATAATTAAACATCTACAGGGAACTGATGAATGACACGTGTCCAAGGATTATAATCATCTTCACCCGGATTAATAGTCCTGACGGCCCGCCAAACACCACTGCCGCACTTGAAACCCGACCCGAAAGCAATCTGCCAAACCCGGTCACCTTTCTTGATCCTCCCTTTGGCTTCCGTATAAGCAAGTTCGTACCAGAAAGAACTGCTCGAAGTATTACTGTACCTGCAGTGGCGAAACCAGGATCTTATAATCAAGGGGGGCCGAATATACACTAAAATAATTAGATATCTAGGGTTCGTGCCACGAAAAAAATTTAGGATTTTTTTGGTATCAATTCCGACTTTTGAAATGACTAAATAATAAATATTGGGTGGAATATTAAATAATTAGGTATAAAATGTAATGAAAGTTTTTTCAATTGAGGATAAGTTTGACTCTTTGAGTATACTCATTTATTAATTTTCAAATACTTAATTTTTATGTTTATATAAAACTAAATTCTTAAAAAGTAATACATTAAATTATATGCATATATATGGCAAATTACGGCCACCTCTTGAGTTATGGCTTAATTATGAAAACACCCCTTTTGTTTAGATAATTACAGTTACTCTTATTATTTTAAATATTATTTTACACAAAATTTATGTAATTCAGTTATTTGCCGAACCAAATCGTATATTAGTTCGGTAACGGTACGAAATGTTGGTGTACCGGAATTTCAGTTCGGTATTTTACCGAATTAACAGTCATAAATTAACTTTTAAAGGGGTCTTTTCGTAAGATAATATATAGTTAAGGGGTGTTTGTAATTACCCAGACACGAGGGATCGGAGTTTTCGTAATTTTATCATAACTCAGGGGCCCACACGTACCTGTACAGCGTCATTCTAGAAGGCTCCATATCCCATTTCGTGAGTTTAAGGTTCTTCTCCACCTCGTCAAGTACGGCTTTCCCGCCGGCGTGTATGCAGAAGTGTTCGAACGCGCGTCTGAAATCCGGCGCGTAAGGGCGCAACCCCTTTACCTTGAACAGTTTCCTAGCGATTAAATTGGCGGCGAAGATGAGCTGCTCGGAGATGGGGAGGACCGACGGTGCCAGGGCGGTGATGTTGGATCTCAGGGCGTCGCCGGCGACGGAGATTAGGTCTTTTGAGATCGACATTCCGAGTTTTCCGGTGGCGTCGACTTGCTGGAGGACGCTTTTGTAGGCTCTGTCGTTTGAGCCGAGGTGGGTGCGGAGTGTGTGGGTGAGCTCGTATTTGGATTTGCGGCGGTCGGAGGGGCGGTTGGAGAGGAGGATGGCGGCGCCGCCCATGCGGAAGAGGAGGTTTGAGAGGAGCTTTGATTTGTCGTCGCCGACGTAGTAGCTGGCTGTTGGGCTTTCCACGCTCATGATTAGTGCATACGTGTCGCCTTGGCCCTACAACCAACAAATTAAATTTTTATGGGATAAATTAATAGAATATACAAATAATAATAATTATGGACGGTAACGGGTCGGTTCTGGGCTGGGTTTGCCTAAACCCAAGACCCGATCCACGAAAAATATATAAACCCAAGACCCGCCCAAACCCGTTTTAGCTTAGACCCAGACCCGCCCCAACCCAGACCCTAACTAAGCGGTTCTGACCTGCCTGACCCGCTAGACCCATTAGCATACAAAAAGTTTAATATTTTTTAACTTTCATAACATTTTGCTTGTATATTTTTACGAAACAATCTCAATGCTAAAATACAATATTTGAAAAAATCTCTACGGGTTATATAACACAAACAATAAAATTACAATTAATTATATTTAACTTCGATAATAAGTAAAATTCAAAATGCAAGACAATTAGCGGTGGTCGACAAGTGATAAATATTACTCACGAAAATGAGAGTCGAAAAATAAAACAGTGAAAATAGGTAAATGAGAATAGACAAGATGGAAATTGATAGTTTGATAAATGGGGGTCGGTTCTGGGTCGGTTCCAATAAGACCCGTAACCGGCCCAGAACCATCCGGTTCTAGAAACTTAAACCCATTATGGGGGTCGGTTCTGGGTCGGTTCCAATAAGACCCGTAATTAACCCGCCCCAGAACCATCCGGTTCTAGAAACTTAAACCCATTATCCGACAACCATTTAGCTGACCCAGACCCGCCCCAAACGGGTCGGTTCCGGGTCCAAGACCCGCCAAACCCGTACCCATTGCCATCCATAATAATAATAATAATAATAATAATAATAATAATAATAATAATAATAATTATAATAATAATAATAATAATAATAATAATAATAATAATAATAATAATAATAATAATAATAATAATAATAATAATAATAATAATAATAATAATAATAATAATAATAATAATAATAATAATAATAATAATAATAATAATAATAATAATAATAATAATAATAATAATAATAATAATAATAATAATAATAATAATAATAATAATAATAATAATAATGGCAAATTACGGCCACAATTGAGGTAAAATCAAATTACGAAAACACGCTTTCTGTTTGCCTACAGTTACTGCTCCACTATTTATGTATACTCGCCCCCTA